GGTCGATGCCACTGCTGGTGGACGTTTCGTCCCCGAGGGTATCACCAGCCCAGTAGTCAGCACTTCGGTGTTGACATGAATATCAATTACATGGTCATTTTGTTATAAATTTCCTGTTGACAAAACTTTAATTTTTTCGACAAACTAAGAATTTTCTTATCCCAGGAATAGATTACCTTAGCCGTATTTGGCACAACTTTTTGGAATTTTGGGTCCTCAGTGCTCTTCAACTTTGTACTTGTTTGGCTTTATAACTATATTGAGCTGAGCGTCACTGATGAGTCTTATGTAGACGAAACGCGCGTCTGGCGTATTAAATTGTAATCCCTGTACCTTTGATAACTATTTAAACCACTGGGTCGATGCCACTGCTGGTGGAAGTTTCGTCCCCGAGGGTATCACCAGCCCAGTAGTCAGCGCTTCGGTGTTGACATCAATATCAATTATAGGGTCATATTATTTTTATAAATTTCCTGTTGACAAAACTTTAATTTTTTTGAAAAACTAAGGATTTTCTTATCCCAGGAATAGATTACCTTAGCCGTATTTGGCACAGCCTTTTGGAATTTTGGGTCTTCATTGCCCTTCAACTTTGTACTTGTTTGGCTTATATCTATTTTAATCTGAGCGTCACTGATGAGTCTTATGTAGACGAAACGCGCGTCTTGCGTATTAAATTATAATCCTGGTACCTTTGATAAGTATTTACTGCCCTCATTGATAAAACAAAAACTAAGATGCGGGCTTTTTTCTATGACTTCGTGGATTGTGAAATTTACTTGAACACTATATTCTGAAATTTTGCGCAGTTATTAGTATTGCATATGACGGTATACAGTTGGACACACAGAGCATGCATCCAACATGTGTTTTATGATATTTTTGTGTGCTCCCATTCTCAATTTCAAAGCGCTTCAGACGCATGAGTAAATAAAGACAACAAGGTATCTACACGTCTCAATCTTCAAAATCGCTTATATAAAAATACTACCATCGCTAACATTTTTAACAATAAAAATCGTGGTTACCCTTCTATCGATAAGTGTCATGCCAAAAAAATGACTTACATGTCCCCGTCTTTCCACCAACAATACGGTAAGGTATACGTTTAATGGTCGCACATTTTCTTTAAATTTTGAAAGTGATATAACTTGAAAAACAAACAGTATTATTAATTTACTCACATGAAACAAACCGGGATGCGGTATTCAGTACGTAGGTGAAACTGGACGATATTTATCTAAACGCACGCAAGAACACCTGTATCGTTTTAAAAGACCCAATACATTCAAAATTATCATTTATCAACATCTTAAAAAGCACAATCACCCTAATAAACATTTAACAGTTAAACCTTTAGAAGTTGTAAATAAGCAGCCTGGTGAATCTCATTCAAAGTTTGTACGATCACGGAAAATAATTGAATTAAATTGGATTAAAAAATTACAGACAGTCTACCCTCTCGGTCTTAATGATAATATCATGGGAATTGGTAATATATCAAGAACCGATTATGTTAACATTTTGGATATAGTTTCTAAAACTGTTCGTAGAAACCGTTCTCATGGGCGTAGAAAAAAATCGCAATCAAAGAAAATTTCGGACGAACCATACAAATATTTCGTACCTAATTTCTATTTCAAAAAACAACGGCAGACATTATCTATTAACCAAGCTCTGTTCTTTACCTATAAATAAATTAAATAAAATTTTAGAGGATTGCAACACAATTTCATATTGCAGTCCTAAGTATGAAATCGTTCAAGTTATAATGGCATATTGTTATTCTAAACTGTTTCCCAAAATTGATCGCCCTGAAGATCATAAAAAACATTTTATTAAAATAAAGTATGTCAATAAAGGTTTTGATTTTGTAAATATTGCCGGTATTTCTAACGACCATTCTGTTACAGAACAAATTCCTGGATATGTTGATAATACTGAACTCCCTCTCATTTGCTATATTTACAAGAAATCTACCAGAACATTTGTGTTTAATTATAGCCAAGTGTGTAAAGATGTAAATATCAGTGAAAATACACCTCCGTCATGTAATTGTAGTTATTCCGAATACACTTATGGCCCCATTTTCCATGTTATAACAGGAGACCTTAACATCGTTCGCGACCGAGAGATAAAATCATTCCCCAGTAAAGGACCTAAATATCGTCCGCCGTCAATTATTAATTGGAATGAGTGTCGTAATATCATCCACGAATAACTTCGTGCTTACTGTTTGAAATGGATAAAACGGGAAAAAGCTGACAATAAAACTTTGGACTCTTTTTTTTAATTCAGTAATGAAGATAGTTGATATACGTATACAACATTTTAAAGAACATTTTACTCTTAACAACAACCATAAAAATCCTATTTCTCGTATCAAACATAAACTAAAAGAACTAGCCAAGGAATTTGTTTTTGTCCCAGCTGATAAAGCTGCTAATAATATCATTATAGTTTGACGTAAATTTTACATTGAGGTTCTGCAAAAGGAAATCACGAATTCACCATCATTCCAACTGACTTCATTTTCAGAAAACGATATCTGTAACAAACATAAACTATTAGCTACTTCTTTACAAGCAGAACTAAATATAATGAAAGTCCCAACTATGTACTGGCTTCCGAAGCTACACAAATCACCTTACAAATATAGATTTATTTCGTCTTCAAGTCATTGTTCCACTACTAAATTGTCTATTCTACTTACTAGTACACTTGGTACAATAAAAAAACCTGATAATAAATTGTTCAAATAAGGCCTTTGAAAATAGTGGAATTAACTACTTTTGGAGTGTCAAAAACTCGTTGGAAGTACTTGATTAATTGCATGCATATATTGGTGAATTTCAATCTGTTCAAAGTTTTGATTTTTCTACCCTATATACCACTTTGCCTCATATTCTTATTAAGAAAAAATTCACACACCTAATTAAATGGACATTTAAAAAGTCGGAATGCGAATACATATGTTCAAACTCTTTTAGGTCATTTTTTAGTAGCAACAAACAAAAGAACTATGTCATTTGGACATGCTTTGATACTATATCTGCCCTTGAATTTTTACTTGATATCATTTTTGTTCGCTTTGGAGATTCCGTATATCGTCAAGTTATCGGAATTCCAATGAGGACTAGCTGTGCACCACTTATTGCGGACCTGTTTTTGTATTGTTATGAGTTACAATTTAGGACTAAAATCAGCAAAGACCCATCGAAACAACATATGATACAAAAATTTAACAATACTTTTAGATATTTGGATGATATATTGGATGATATCGTTAATTATCCATTTTTAGATGGTGACTTTCCCTTGTCACCATCTTATGGTGTTTATATATCTCAACTTGTACGATTCGCTCGTGTATGTAACAAAGTATTAGATTTAAGCGAGAGAAATTTATGTATTACTGAAAAATTATTACACCAGGGTTTTCGATATCATAAACTAGTCAAAACATTTACTAAATTTTATCATCGGTATAAGGACATCATTCGTAAATATAACTCAACATGCAGACATCTTATACGTTCGGGTATTTCACATTCAATCTTTTATGGTAATATTCTTTACAAAGCACAAAAATGTCAGTATTCACCTCAAAAGCTAACAAAACCTTTAAACAGACTTATTAAGAAGGGATATAGTTACGATACTGTTGTCAGGTCATTAAAGATTGCATATTTTGGCTTTAATATTGATTCACTTATAGGGTCTTTGCATCGGAATTAAACATATTTATTCTAAAACCAATTGTTGGCATGACACGGGTTATGTTCTTCTCATATATTTTATGATGGTATAATACTAAACCCCTAACAGGAGGAATTGTGCCTGATATTCATATGATGAAGACATAATCTTTCAATCAGTTTAATTGAGGTCTGGAGCTGTCATGTCAGTAACTGCTAGTAGTCTGCTGTTATTTATGTATTATTGTCATTTTGTTTTTTTTTCTTTTGTTTCCTATTCTGATATCGGACTCGCACTTCTCTCGAACTGAGTTTTACTGTGCGTACTGTTGTGCGTTTGTTTTTTCTACATTGGCTAGAGGTATAGGGGGAGGGTTGAGATTTCAAAAAACATGTTTAACCCCGCCGCATTTTTGCGGCTGTCCCAAGTCAGGAGCCTCTGGCCTTTGTTAGTCTTGTATCATTTTTAATTTTAGTTTCTTGTGTATAATTTGGAGTTTAGTATGACGTCCATTATCACTGAACTAGTATACATATTTGTTTAGGGGCCAGCTAAAGGACGCCTCCGAGTGCGGGAGTTTCTCGCTGCATTGAAGACCCATTGGTGGCCTTCGGCTGTTGTCTGCTCTATGGTCGGGTTGTTGTCTCTTTGACACATTCCCCATTTCCATTCTCAATTTCAACAGTAGTATATATATATATATATAACACATCAACTATAAGAGGAAAACAACAGAACAACAACAACACTGAACTGCTACATAAATAGAAACGGACAATTTGAATAGAACTGTCATATTTCTGACTTGGCACAGGACATTGTAAGAAAAAAATCAAGGAATTGATTCAATTAGTTTTAGCATATTCATTCTTTTTCGACCCATCCCTAGACATCTGCAAAAGGTAAACGAAGACTTGTGATATGAGTTGGATCCCTTTCCAACAGTGTTTTTTTCAATGAAGCTGATCGACCGAAAGGTCTTTTATTAATTCAGCTGATGGCTCGATTTTGTGTCAAATTAAGTCGAGATGATAATATATGACGTAAACGAACAATGCGAGACAAGTCGTAAAATTTGTCAAATGCAGAATTTTAAAGCAGAGTAAATACGGCTTGCAGTTGGACAATCAATATTCCATCTATATTGTTTAGAATAATATTAAAAATTTACTCTAAAACTGATACAAATGAACTTCAATTATTATTTTGTATTTACCAACTATGCTTTAAACAGATATATACCTAATTGCCATATCAACAATGTTTACAGAAATGCTTTTTTTGTTTTTATTTCATTCTAGTATGTCGGCAGCTCCTGAAAACAACCCTGAATCTCCAACTATGATTACACAGGGGTTTGAGACTCAACAAGCTCAAACAAACAGAATCCAGCACCAATAATTGTCAGTTAGAAAATTAAATGTGTTTGGCCGTATACAGATTTTCCTTGGCGGTTTGCTAGTGATTCTGAGTGAAATTGGATTGATTTTGGACACGATTTCAATGCAGAAATATAAAGACTGTTTAAAAAATGAATATTACAATTTTTCCGCCTACTATGACAATTCATACGACCCATATTACTTGTTATGCAACCGCCATTTCAATACCAAGCGGCAACTTGCCTTTGACATCACAAGTTTGATATGCTCTGAATGGGTAAGTACATGCATGTAAATGTGAATAAATGATAGAAATGACTCACAAGATAATCTTTGATTGATATGTTGTGTTACTAACATGTGATACTAACTCAGTATGTTATTCAAGCATGTCTTTAAAAAAAGGAAAATGCCTTTATTTATTGTGTATTAACTCCGATACAATTTGCTTACTTATTAATTTGAAAAATACTTTTCATAGATTTGCATAGAAAAATCATTTAAATTTCATTCGTTAAAAAAACATTATATTGTGTTATCATGTGTTCAAAATGAGTACTAAAGCAATTCATTCAAGTATGGATCTAAAAACTAGTGCAATCATTCCTGGTAAAAAATCTTTAGTGTAATCATTTCTGATACGAAAGCACTAGTGTTATCATTCCTGGTACTAAAACACTAGTGTGAATATTCCTTGGATGAAAAACATTAGTTTATTTTGTCTATTTTGTATACATAAATCAACTATGCAAGTTTTTATTCATCACAGTGAAGAAAAAAATGTCAGTTAACACAACTCACGACGTTATGTTACATACACCTTTGCAGAATATTCCCATTTTATATGTATGTTTTGTTAGCAAATATTCAGTCTTTTCCTTAAATGATAAGAAACTTTTATGTGTTACAACCACAAGGTTAAGGATAACTGTTGCAGTTTCTTGTGAGTCTTAAAGTAATAATTGAAAAAGATGACCCAAAGTGTTCTTGGAATTGTCCATCTACATGTTTCTAATAATATTATGGCGCATGTCCAATTATACTATTAATTTTGCAGTGCATTTTAACCGGTATTCTTCCCTTCTGTATGAAAAATCGGAGAAAAGCGAACTGGAGATGTCTGGTAGGTAAACGTTTAATCGGTTAATAAAACAAAAGCAGGAGGTATGATAGAGCAGTAATTGTTGTTTTATCTTATGTTTTCTGTATGGACTATTATGAACTGTTTTGTTTTGGTAACTCTTTTGTAATTTTGCAGTTCATTTTGATGTTTTGAATGCGACCAAGATGCAATATTGTTTTACCCTTGTTCTCATTAGACATTTTTTCTGATGGATTAGGTATTGCTTATCTTTACGGCATACATGTTCCTTAGTTTTTCTAGTTAAAGTTAACCTTTAGCTTGCTTATGACATAATAAAACTAATTTCAATTGATGTGTATTGATTTATATTTAATTCTGCGATGCATGATTGATTTATTAGTTGATATTAGATTTGAACTAGTTTTTTAGTAACTGCGAGTACTGATAGATCGGTGCTTTTTATAAGTTGTTTTTGTGATCTGTTTCAATCATATGAGTCCAACTTATTTTTACAGTTTCTTCTTTTGGTGTCCTGTTATACTGCTGTCCCAGGCGAGAGTGAAGGTTAGACGCTAGCAAACACGTTTAACTCCGCCCCATCTGCATGTGCCAGTATCAACTCAGGACCCTGTACTTCAGTGGGTCTCATTGGTTGCTATCAACCATGTATTGTTTTCTACATATATCTAGAAATTTATTTCTAGTTTATACATAATAAAGAAGATGTGGTATGATTGCCAATGAGACTTAGATTGTTTAACATCTTATTACATTTGTAAGTCGGGGCATTTTATAGCGTACAATACAGCGTATATTTTGCTCATTGTTGAAGGTCGTTCAGTGACATGTTTGTGCTTACTTCTTCGTCATTTGGAATCTGGTTGATGGTTGTCTCATTGCGAGAAGCAATCATAAAGGGTACCGCATCTTCTAACTTTTATGTTGAATGGCTCCATCTTAATCCGTTCCTTTTCAATTATAATTTTTTTATTCTTTATCCGATATTCTCGCCTTACGCAACGCGTTGCTTAGGACATAGAAATACCGAGCATCCGTCCGCCTGTTCGCCCGGTCTTGTTCGATCTTTCATATGGACAGATCTTTCATGAAACTCATATCATAGGTTTATATCAGCAATGTCTCGAACATGTTCGAAAATTAGTTCTGATCAATTATTTGTAAAAAGATCTGTTCCCTTGAAATATTGATTATATTTGAAATTGAATTTGATTAGCCTTCAATTCTCTGAATATCTATACTATTAAATGAGAAGACCTCATTTTGTGTGTCGCTTCTCTTCCTTCCACAATAAATTAATCATCATGCCTTTGTGTCCTATAGGTACCATGCATAGTTCGTAGATATGTATTTGTTAAAATATTGGGGAACCTTCACCAATAGAATGATCGAGACGAGGACCTCGTTGTCTTCTGTGACTAAAAAACGAGTACTTTTAATATCTTAACTACATTACAAATTTTGTCAAACTAGAATATAATTTGTAAAGTTTTGTCAAATTACTTGCAGATGCGTGATTGTGTATCTCTTCCAAAGCAGAAAATTAAGAAAGTTAAGGCAAGCTCTCATGCCTTCCAAATAGAACTCTGTAAAAATGACGTGATCTCCGTAAGGAATCTGTTTTGACTATACTAGTTCTCAAAAACAATGTACTTGCTGGTAAATATTAATGATGAAAACAACAATTAAACAAGGTAATCAAATTGATAATTTTAACATTTTCTAGACATTTAATGCACAGGGAGATTATATGTTAATGGAGTCCGTATGTTGCTATGCAATAAACCACTTCTGATCCTAGTTTCCAGAGCTAGAGCAAACAAGATTAGAAAAAAATAAACGATGTGAAGCAAAGACTTACTCTTTGTAATTAGGGCACTAAGGCAATTTCAAAGAAATTTTTTTATATGCACAATGAGTATGCTAGAAATTTAAGAAAAGTGTGTTAGTAACCTAATCCAATATATGTAGGGTCTGTAAATTACACACGGGGTGAGAGCGAAGGTCACTAGTACACTGTGTTACGAATCTATCTTACCGAATATCTTAACATGTGGAAATTTAGACTAGTGGCCTATTAAAGTGATCAAGTCTTTAATACCGTTAGAATAAAGAACCTCCTTCCATTGGTCTATACAAACAAATGCCAACAACAACAACTTGTTAGCTTTAAATGTGTTTTATGAATTTATTTCATTCGTTCATCGTCAATTTCTTCGTCTGTTGAAACCTTATAGAATTTTCTTCAACACCGTGTTGTATTTTTATAAAGGGACGTAACACCACTTCCAACCGTGTATTGAAATAACCCCACCTACTAACCCCATATGAAATATACACGGTCTTCACGCAGATGCAGTTAACCCATCATATTCATAGAAACACATAAGAGGTAAGATAAAAGGCTATACATCCACAGACACTTGTATCTGCAGAAAAATACCTATAGGCATATAGGTAATTTTTTTCTGAGATAAGTGGTTCATGTGTAAACATCAGTTATGGTTACATGCGATACATCCACTTGCCAAATATTAAATCGTCGAGAGAACAACAAACTGCTTTAAAATTGGTATCTGTTGCTGTTTTAACAACAAATTTGGACATACAAATGAATGTAAAATGCACCTGAATATCCGATATTAGATATATTCTATAGTATGCAAAATCGTTTAGGAAGAAATGTTTATCCAACTTTTAAAATATCTATCCTAAAAGAAACTTGATGATTAAGGTAGTAAGAAATTAAGTCAGTTTCAAATTCAGAAAAAAACGCTTAAGCCCCGTCACACTAGACCACGATCGCACCACGCTCAGTGCGATCTAAAAAAAATCAAATTGTGGTGAGGTCGCGGTATGAGCGGCAAGAAAATGCAAATTTTCGTTGTTTTCACGATTGTATTACGTCCTCAACACGCTTTTAAAACGATCCGGCTACGATCATTCCACGTTCACACCACACCTATTATTCGACCTCACTACGATTATCACGATCTTACTACGCTCATCACGTTCTCATTTCGACCATACCACGATTCATCCGATTGCAACACGATCTTACCACGGTTCTATGCGATTATAGCACGCTCTTACCATGATCATACTACGATCATACCACGTTCATACCGCGATCTTACTATGCTCTCAACAACAACGTCAGCATCGAGTTCCATATAAATACTATTCCATTCCTTCTGTTTCTCATTAATACATAGATGTTTTGGAAACAACACAGTCATGCCACCAAAATCTACCAGAACCCGTCGGCGTGGTGGTAGGTGTAGATGTCTTAAAGTGAAGGCAAGTTTAAGACCAGGCAACAGGGCTCTTCTAAGTAGAGTATCTGCTTCTTGATTCTTGGACCAACTCTGTTAAGAAGTTCATCGAACATCTCTGGTGGCATTCTCGAAAAATTAAAGAAGGAAGGTTCATCCTCGATTCGTATTTCGTTCATCAACTGATCATAATGACCATCTGGAGTCTCTTTACGGTTGATAACTAAAGACGAACCCAACAAGACCTACGCCGTCTAAATTTTCTTCTCATTCTTCTTCTCTGCTCTCTCAATAATTATATTATGGCCTTGTCTTTAAGATTTTGTATCTGTGTTAATGATTGTAGAAGCTTACTACATGTACATGTTCTTGTGTTTCCATGGTTTAATTGAAATTGATGTTTCAAACAAAACCTGGAGAGCTTTTATATATTGTAAGTGACAATGACTATGAGCATGGCTAAAACTTGAAATGGTCATAGTATGAACGTAGTCAGGTCGTAAAAAGAGCGCGATGAGGACGGCATGAGCGTGCTTGAATCGTACTATGGTCTTGAAGAGCGTGGTATAAACGTGGTATAGTCGTAGTAGAAGCGTGGTTGGGTCGCGCTGAGAACGTGATGACCGAATGGAGATCGAAGTAACGTCGCTGTGAGATCTTAACGCAGTTTCTCTGACTAGGATCGCGCTTTCGCTACATTGGTACAGCGACCGTTGCGATCTTAACACGACTTTACTGCGCTCTCAATACGCTTCTATTACGTTCTGATTTCGCCACGACTGCACCACGATGGTTTTGAACATGTTCAAAGTTGGTCCATGCTCATCACGATCGTGAAGACCTCACAACGACCGATCTACACGATCGCACTACGTTCGTCAAAATTTGCATTTTTTTCAGAGATCGTAGTGCGATCGTGGCCTAGTGTGACGGGGGTATATCAACTTAACAATAATATGGATAATGACTGTTAATAGACATTTTTGGAAAAAGACAAATGAAAATGTAATTTATTTAACAGGACTTTTGTATAAACATATATATATATGGTATAAGGCAATATCAAGGATAAAATTTGAAATTATTTGTACAGGAATTGACCCAAACAGATATAGAAACAAATTTGTTTTTCAAAAAATGAAACACAATTTTCTTCATATGCTGGTAAAAGTGTTTTTATATTTTACTTTGTGATAAGGCGAAGCATCGAGACATGATAATCTGGTCTTAGGGAGCAACCATTTAACTTCAAGGGGGGTAATGGTTTTTTGTCTGAGTCAGAAATTTGTTTTCGAGCAAAGCGCGAACAATTTTATGTAGTTTTTCAACGCTATCAACAAATTATTTTTTTTCAAAATTCTATAAGATAAGGTATGGGGAAAATCTGGATTCAGAATTTTTTTTTTTGTTATCTGCTTGAACAGAATATTTTTTTTTCTTCACCAAATTGGGGATAAGAATATTTGTCTAGGAAAAAACCATACCCCCCCCCCCCCTTTTGAAGTTAAATAGTTGTGTCCTTATAGCTAGTCAAAGCCGGGTTCATGTTTCCCACCTTTTTTATAAAAAGTTACAAAATAGATTGGTACATATAAAGTCTTGTTTTTGTTTTTTGTTATTGCGTCCTTAAGCTAACTCTCATTACATTCATGTGTCAATGTCAGAGTAGTGCTGTGGGTTGCTGGAGTTATTATCACGTGTTTGCTTGTGCTGTACAATAGCTTGAAATTTCAACTGATAATCGATTGTTTGTAAATCGGAAAGAAAATACAACCTATTTGTTTTAAAGAGGAAAATTATACACGAATGGAAATAACAATGTACAGAAAAAGAGTTTGTTGATTTAAGAATATGCAATTACTAATATAATCGCTGATATGAAAGTATATTCCCATGGCTATTCGTGTATGATTGAATTTTTTTAATGTCCAGTGACCAATGTTTCATGTATTTTTATACAAGTTCATTCTGACTGCAAATTGAATAAAGTCTTCGTATATTGAACCAATTAGCATTGATTGAACAATTTTACTATTTATGTTTCGAACAAACTTTTAAACGCACTAAATCTCAATTATGTTATCAATTAACAACTCGACAACTTTTTTCAGTTTTGAAAGTTTTCGGTCTGTTATTTCGTGTACAGTGATTGTGTACAGTGTAGATGAACAGAAATCATCTATCTTGAAAAAAAATATTCCATTCGCATGGTAAAGCGATACTTTTTCCGAGACTAAATTACGTGAACGATGACAGACTACACTACTGGGGATTGTTCTTTTGATTTTCTTTTTTGTGGAGGGATTTTTCCCATAGAACACACCGTGTATTAGAGTACCTAAACGTGCGTGGTATTTATTTCTAAAATACCAGATGGTTGATGCGTTTATCTAATTAAAATATAGATCTCTGATTTCTGTATCCTCATGTGAGCTTATAGATGCGAGCACGCAAGTTAATATAAATATGAATTTAATTAGATTGGGTGGTATGGTTTCCTCTATTTTGGTTTCTTTGACATCCTTATAAAAGAAAGAGTAATTCAAATACCATGTCAAAAACGATTTTATGAATAGATTTTTACAGCGGATGATCATGAGGGCATGCCGGTGTTATGTTGCATCAGACATTTCTAACCACATGACTTGTTTTTGACTGATAACCGAACGTATTTCGTATAATTATGCGGATATTATCGAGTGCAAAATAGCATTCCTTATTGCTTGTTATATATTAATTTCATCAATAAATATTCATGAAAATAATTGTTAAGAACATAATAGATAAATGATATGAAAATGTTTTGTCGTGGAAATATACATGTCAATAACAAATCAAGAATACGGAGAATTTGTGTTAACACATGCGGAAGAATACCTCAGGAACGTTTTGAAACAAACGCAGGAAAATATGAATGCCTATTCAATTCCAATCTATTAGAAAAAACGAATTATTACAGAAGAGTGTCCACCATGCACTTGCACTGCACTTTAGAATAGTAGAATAGAATGATATACAAATGGATGAAAATTATATGTAACTGTTATACAAATATTAATATCATAAATAACAACAAACCAGAGTATACTGATACCAAATGATTATATCACTACAATATAATAATCATTACGGCGAGGTTGAATTCCCTGTCATTTATTCATCATCTATACAGGAACTAGTCTCAGAAAAAATATATCTATGTTCCTTAACCTAACTTTCAGGTATAGATATGTGATTTTTTTTTAGACAAATACTTGTGACCATCCACCAAAACTTGGGGCATCCGATGTTCACTACTTCAGTACTTTGATCTATAACGGCAGTAATACACCTTTCTTTGTCGGACTATTGCGGTGTCGGACCAATGGAGCGTCGGACTAATGATGTGTCAGACCAATGGGACGTCGGACTAGTGAGGTGTCGGAATATCGGGGCGACCCCACTGGCAGGTTTAGCATATCCTCCTTCACTATTAGCACTCGTCATGTTAAACATGACATTACAATTCTGCTGTGAAACGTCTCATTCAGTGAATTTTATCAAATAAAGGAAACAGTTGTAAACCGGTGTTCAAAAGTTATAAATCGATTGAGAGAAAACAAATCCGGGTTATAAACTAAAACAGAGGGAAAAACAAAGGAACAACATGAACACTGAAGTGCAATAAAAACAAACGTCAAAAATCAAAATCAAAGTCAGTTAAATCTTCACTTGTTATGGAAGATAGTCAACACTGATGAATTAGTTACATTATTTTCATGTTATTTCGATGTTTGTTTCCTCAGAAAACCGCATTTATGGTGTGTAACATAATTGCAGCATCAGTTTTAGTACCCGGCATATACATTCTTAGGGTTATTGAAGCAATTATAGTAAGTATTGATATTTATCGATAATAAAAAAGTGAAATATCATCGACGTTTTTACTGTATTTTTGTTGGGTATCGATGAAACATTAGAGAGTCGACTTTTCTTTAAGGATTTCTTTTGAATTGCTGAATAATGATATTGATTGATTATAGTGATGGTTGCATGATTTGGTCAAACAGTACTAACTAAAACATGTCATGACAGAGTCCTTAGTGAAAATAATTAATTGTAATAAAGGTTATTTAACAAAACAACATTAATATTTTAAATATAGTAGTCTGATAAAAGTTCTAATCGTATATTCTTATACCCTTCAAAATGATATTTATGTTAGTCCGCTTGTCATTATCTTGCACATATGTCATACTTAGAAATATTCTTTAAAAATCATCATCATAAAATAGTAAGTGTAGAAGCTTGTTTGACGCTTTAGAAAAACATTGATTCTGATTGTCTAAGTGCTTTCTGAATAAATACACTCCAAATGTTCGGGCTAAATGAATTCTGAATGGGCTACATGTTTGCTTTTTCAACGCAAAGATCTCCATTGAAAACTAGAAAACATGTTAATTTTAGTTCAAATGAACCAATATATTAATGTGATCTTACTTGAAGTCTGTGGCTTGGACGTTAAAATTATATAATTTTCTTCTATTGAGCATAACTTTACAAAAATAAGTATCGATCGAAATAATGATTACCGGTACCAGAGGCAGATTTAATATTCCAAAAATTTAGAACCTACAACACAGATGAAAATATTCCAAGATTTTAATTGTTATCCTTTACTGTGACATCTGTTTTGTCCTTGTCAATAAAAATAACATGGTCATGTACCAAACTTATCAATACTGATGTTTAAAATTTATTTTCCAAACAAAAATGGCATTCCATTATCTAGACAAATTAATGTCGTAGGTATTTCTTAAATTTGAGTATTTTCCAATGACCTCAAAACCTTCATAACATCTGAATACCTCAAACCTTCAATAAGTGCGCAAACTATAATGTAAGATGTCAACTTATAATTACGATAATCAATAACCAAGCTATTCTAGTCCCTTCATAATAACCAGATAGAAAACAACGAATGATATATCCGAATCAATTTCATTCACTACTAAACATATCTCGGAAGTGCCCCTATTAAAACTTATGAGCTATGACAGAGCACTGAATAAATGAAATTGAAAATTTGCTTTACAGACTATTGAATGCAACGTTCTTAAGTATTTGTTAATCTAGAACAACAGATGCGTAAGATACCAAACTGATATTTAAGTTCACGTCAAAAACAAACTTATAATGCATTAACGTTGAATTCATAATGCGTCATATAACGGTTGGAATACAAGATTTGATTTGCGACGATTTGCATTTAACTTTGGGTACAACCATTTAACTTCAAGGGGGATGGGTGTGTTGTTTTCTTTCTGAGTCAGAAGCGCGAAAATTATAATTAATGTTTTGAACCTATCGATCAAATTATTTTGTTCAACATTTAACACTATAAGGTATGGGAAAAATCTGGATTCAGAATGATTTTGGTTTGCCATCTGCTTGACCAGAATACTTTTTTATTATCAAACTGGTGATCAGAATATTTTTTAGGAAAAAACTATAACCCCCCCCCCCCCCCCCCCCCCCCCTTTGAAGTAAAATGGTCGTTCCCTTAGCCTCAAATAATGAATATCTACGTTATTTGTTGCAGAGAGACACCTATGAATCAAAAGTTGTGATTCTGTTATCTTTTATGACTGTGGTATCCTTTGCAGAAGTGATAGTGGCAATCATGGCCGCTTCATACTGCTGTTGTTGCTCTACATGGGGAACATCAGATCAGCAGGTAAGCAAAATGAGATCATTTTAGTGAGCTTTCGTCGGAATAATGTGAAAACAACATAGAATGTAGAAAATGAAATATTTCAACAACAATAAAAGAGAACTTATTTAAACGCCATGATTGGTTACTATTAAGTCCTTTAACAAAATCACAACCAGTTCGTAAAAGAATATCTACAATTGATCAAAATGTTCGACTATCATACCATTTGTAAAACAGTTTCACTTTGTATCTTTTTAGATAAAATGTACTGTTTTTTTCTGATATTTTCGTACATTACCTATTTTAAGCGTTGATGCCAAATAGCCAATCAAAAACTAGTGTTGCTTCGGTACGGTAAGAATTTCCTGCTCAACTTATAGCCCATTTTGTGTTGATCATGATAATCGTAATAACTTGAAAAATAGTAAAATATAATTTGCCCCTGTTTGAAACAAAATATTTGTTTTTGTTTTCGTGTCTGCTTCATTTGTTTGTTGGGTTTTTTTTTCAATTTTTATGTTATAAATTAGGCAGTAACTCTCATCGTGTGAACAGTTCTTGTTATTGTTGCCTTTCGATATTGATTTTGCTCATTGTTGAAGAATCCCATACATGCTTTCATTCACGTTCTTCGAAATCTCTTTACAAATCATTTCACATCTCTTTACTTTTATATTGCACTAACTCCTAAAGCTTATATTTAATTGCATTCTTTATTATTTGTTGGATAAATATTGACCAGAAACAATCAGAACATAACGCTGGATAAAATTATTGAATTTAATAATTCATGAGAAAACATGTTATCAAATGGGGCATATATAGAAAGGCTAAATATATTAGAGGGATTTTCCTGTGGAAGTTGCGAATTTATATTTGCAAAATTTACATATTTCATTTCTTTACCTTATTAATAACTTTTAATAATGGAAATGTTAAACTAGAAAAAGTATCCTATCTGTAGTGCTGTTTTATTTCTTAAAAAGGGTGTCGTTTTTGTAAACGGTACACAGCCTGAATTGTTTCTTGACTTACAAACTAACATTGGAAATGTTCAACCGCCTATGGATAATACTGGACATATAGATATCCCGACAGTGAGCTATCCCAGAGCTAATCAGTATCAAGAAAACACTACAAACGAACAGATAGGACCAAACATTCAAACTGTTGAAGGAACACTGCCAAAAATTGACAGTACACAGCAGGAAGCTTTTGATACTAATCCACTGCCTTACAAAGTATAAAGAAGATAAATTTATAAACTACATACATACATATGCATTTATTTTATATATATATATATATACAATGTAATTTTTAAGCATTATTTAGTATCTAAATATAATGAATATTCACAATTTGATGAAAAATAAACGCATTATTTCTTTAATAAGACAAATCTTCATCGGTCTTGCATATATCCAGACGAGATCGGATGCAGATAAGGATCTTTTTAAAGTGCAGAATATTATACAGTGTAATCAATCAGATTTTATTGTACTATGGAAAATTGTTTGATTTATGAACACTGTATTTGTTCTGATTATTATTATTTTTTTCTTCCGCCAAATTTTGTTAACGCGTAAAATTTTTGTTTCGCAATATGTCGCTAAGATATTTCTTATATAGTATCATACAGTTAATGCGCTTTTTATTTTCACCCATTCTAAGCCGAATAATTTTCTTTGTAAGAGTTATCTCCCTATTCACTATTCATCAAGTGTGTGCATCTCCTTCGTAACAAAAAAAGATATCGACAAAATTCTTTTTCTTAATTGTTCGTTACATCCTCAGAAATTTTTGGCTAATTTGGATCGAAGCGATTCGAAGAAATTTTAAAGCAGTTATCTACCTTTACCAAATAAAATTGTCGGTATGCTTTTTAACTCATAAACCGTTAACCGTATAACCCTGGAATCTTTTTATTTGAGGTCCCTAGGTCCTAACAGAAAATGAGGTCAAGGTCAAAGGTCAAGGTCAAGTTCTCAAATTTTCCTTGTTTTTGCATTTTCTCAAACACTTTAAAAGATATATATGAAACAACAAGTGCAAAATATTTGCTTTATTGTAATGAAGATAAGTTACATTTGGTCTGAAACAATCTAATGGCATCTTATAGAAGTTCGTGCCCCTGAAATGTCAATTTATAAGGTTAATTGATTATTACTTCAACTTGGTTCATTATAAAGCCATATGACCTTATACAAAAGGTTGGATGACAAATGAACTTGAAAAATGACAACCGGAAGTGACCCTGAGAAAACCGGAAGTAGCCATTTTTGCACTTTCTTCATGGAAAAGTACTCGGAATCCATATATTTTGTGATTTTAATACATTAACTTATCACTGAAGACTAGGAATGACTTTCGATAAACCGGAAGTGGCCAATTATCTCCTGATTTACAAGCAAAAGTATATAGAAACTATATATTTTTGGAATAAGTGTGAAAGAAACTATTATATGAGACCGTAAGTGACATTTACTTCACCGGAAGTAGCTAATTATCTCCCTTATTTCACCCACTTATTTATCGCATCAGTATGAAGAAACTGATGATAAGATGCCAATTTTAACTTTGAGTAAACACGAACTAGCTTCTTTTCAATAAATTTAAAAATTGCTGTGAACAAATTGTTTTTAATTATATAATTGAACTTGTTATATATATTTTCAATTAGATTCAAATGAGCTTTTATGTATAATTATTATATATGCAATACTTGTATTTTTATTAATAATAATACTAAATTAAAAAATGTAAATGCGAATATAACTGGAGTTTTATTGTTTCTGTTTCAAAGGTGAAAGGTTATACTGGCTTATAATTGCTTACTACCACTTCATTTTATCTCTGATGGACAATTGTCTCGTTGGCAATCATACCACATATCCTCAATGTTTTTGAGATAAGTACCACAGTATTAATGCAGGCCATTTCATAATAATTCACAAGTTTTTTTTTTTTGTTTCGTTACCAGTGTATAGCCACTTTATTTTCCAAATAACAAATTAAAGATCGTCCAGCAAAATATTAGATCATAAAACTTAAGATAAATGTATATTTAAAAAAAGGACACAGATTGATACATCGAATATGGCTTAAAAGTAAAATAACAAAAATAGCGAACCCCGATAATTCATATGATAATAAAACTGATAATACATCATGCAAATACTGGAGGAGTACAATTTTACGATTAATACATTATTTTAATGAAGATTCCTTTAATTGAGTTATAGAGTTAAGAAGGGGTTTTTGTACCAGAAAAATGCTGTGGCTGAAGTAGAAACTTTAAACTATTTGAAAGGTCTTATTTTATATTGTAATAATTTGATATTTGAAATTAATAAGAATTGTGCATATATGATCCCAACTCTATTTTCTGACTCATTGCTGACATTTGGTCTCGTTTTGTACGTAAATGATGACAATAACATTTTATGCTATTCTCTCAGTTTCACTTTGAGAAGTACGATTCACACCTTCATCAGATTACTATTGAAACCTGCAAAGTTTGCATGTAATTACTTCAAATTGCAAAATGCACTTTCTCATATAATGAACACATAAACAAAAAAACTATAACAATCTATTGAACATGCTGTAGATGGATATAAGCAGTTACAATTCAAATGATGAACCAACTTTTTTTGGTTATATATGATTACATATCTATACCATATTGTAGTTATCTATACATATTTCATGTCTGTATTTCATGGCAATAAGGTATGTTCTTATAAGCACCGGAAGCATTGCACGAGAATAAAACCATTCTTTAGAGTAATTGCTTCAAAGTCACTCATAAACAAGGTATTACCTGATGTATGCATCCACCTATATTCAATTTTATAAACAAGAATGTATCATGGTATTTTGCTTTAAATAATATATATTATCTTATTATATTATTTCAAAGGGAACTGAATTTTAATAAATATTATATAAACAGCAACAATGCAACATTTCAAGATTCATATGTAAAGTTTACCCACTGTTGTGCCTTATTCTCATAACTTCCTCTAATAATGTCACTGTTATCAAGAATGCTGTTGACCTTGATCTAACCTTCCATGTTACCGTTTTTATCTTTACCAAACATGTACGTTCTACTGTCGCACTCTGGTATCGAAGTGATTCCATGGTTCACATCAAAGTTTTGACTGAGGTCAGAGTTGCTCTAAGCGTAACTCGATTGGCATCGATTATGATACTATACTAGTTACCGGAAATTTAGATACATTAAACCAGGTACTTCATATCTGCGAAACAGGCAATATATGCCCTCAATTTTAGAATTCATTCATTCATTTTTGTATTATTCAAAAAAATCAGTCTGTATGTGTTCTACAAGGATCGCCAGTCCTTCACCTTTCATTTGATACCTTAATAACTAAAATATATTCTACATAGTTATATATTTAAACCTATGAGTAGGAACTATTTTGTTTTAAATATGTATTACTTTCCAGTATGTTCTTTTTTTTACCGGGCCCAATTTGTTGGTGATACATCTAACAAAGTCTATCCAAATCATTGTGCAAAGAATTCCACACAAAACCGGTGCTAAGGGACATCTTAAACTTGCAGTGAAGTTGGGAGGTTTTTTTTTTGTTGTTGTTTTTTTTTTTTTTTTTTTTTTTCCGTCTTGAAGGCCTCACTGTGACTTTGAGATGAAGAACAGCAATAAAAGCGCTGTTCCTTTGCGTTTTGTGTGTTTTTTTGCTGTGCATGTACTGATTGTGTGTCATGGTTGGATACCCCATATCCTTTGTTTTTCTATTAAATATCTGTCTATGAATAATTAGAACATGAAGAAACAAATTCTAACTTTATAACCATTTTAGAAACAAAATATATTGATTGATTATTAGTTTAACATCCAGTGGGAAATAGTTCATGCATGTTGAAGACGAGAACAAATTATTTATACTGAATACTAACGGTAAGTCCTATAATAAGGGTCGACCTCGAGATAAGGTGAGACATTTTGATTTCCACTAGAAAATTAGGTA